TTTTTTTTTCTATCACGAAGCAAGAAACAATTGACCATTAAAAAAGAAAAAAAGAAAGAAAGAAAGAAAGCACTAAGCTAATGGGAGATTAGCACGACTGTTAGATTCTCTTAGAGCAGCCAAGAAGAGAAACAGGTTTTTAACCTTCGTAGTACTCCTTTCTTGGCAAACCACTGAAGTCACGTAAGGTCTGAACACAACCAGGTATCAATTCCTTAAACATCAAAGTTCTTAAATAATTTTTTCAGGGAAATCCCCCAGAATGCACTCATGAATGGTTTGGAACTTACTTTTCAAGAAACAACACACACAGAAGCAGTCAGCAGATCAGGTTAGCAAGCTTTTGAAGGCACAGATCAAACTCCTGAAGGCAGAACCCGCAGCCTCCCAGAAAAGAAACTGGCAACCAGTCAAGAGGGGTAGCGACTACACCTGCAAAAGAGCACTGGCCCCGCCCCGTTTTCTCAACCACCCAATAAGCAGCGTCTTCCCTCTCCCTTGTAAATCCCCAGCCACCAATCATGATGAGGCAGATATGAGCTTACAGCTCCTGGCCTTCTTGACAGTTGGTCATGCAGTAAAGCCTTTTCTCTATTCAGAAACCCAGTGATAACCTATTGGCTTCCTTGCACACTGAGCAGCAAGGTCTTGCAGTGTAATACCATGTCATCACTCAGTGAAACTGAGCTGAGGCAAAGAAGACAAGTTGCATTAGAATTTTTTTTTTTGTATTACTTTCTAAAACGCTGATAATAGTGTTGGTGATTCTTGCCATTACTGAACTGGTTGGCTGTTATCATTTCAGTTTGGGAACGCAGGAAGACCCTGCTGTGCCAGTTGGAGGAGTGGAAAAAGTGACTCTGAATCCATGAATGCTGATGTATATTGCTCAACACAATGGTGTCTTAATTGAAGAGGCACCAGGCTATCAGAAGGAATCTGTTATTAGGTTTACTGTGTATTTTATTCCCCTCTGGTGCATGGAATTGAACTCAGGGTCTCACAAATACCAGGCAAGTGCTCTACCACTGAATACACACCTACCCCATAGGATTACTCTTTAATTCCAAGAATATATAAATTTTTTTTTCAGCATCGTAACTTGTTCCATTCCCATCCCTCCTTAGAAATTGGACTTTTTTTATTTGTAAAATGTATATTATTTTCACTTAATCAAAGCATAATTTGAAAGAAAAACGTCCAGTATTCATAACTAAATCTTCAATCAAAAACCTAGAATTCCACAAGAACATGTGAATTGGCAAAAACATATGAAAGCCAGTCCGGAACAATTTTGTTTGATTTACAAGGAGCCTCTTGTGTCTACATTTAAATATAGCCATGTGCCCCTACAGTCATCTGTCAGACTGGGAGAATTTCCAGATAATCAAAATGTCACAGAGTTAGTACTTTTAATTTTTATTTCATCTCCTGAAAGTATGAACTCTGATTGTAATTATAGCTTCATCTGCTCTTGAATGATTTTGTTTTATCAGACAAAGAGTCCTTTAAAGACCACAGTGATGGAGAACCAGGAAACTGCCTAAGACAGGAAACAATAAGAATATGCTCTTCTGGGAAGCAGCAAACAACCTGCAACTACAGGTTATGCAACACACATTT